AAAGTTGTTTGCATGTGTTTTAAAGTCTTCACTTAGTCAAATCCTAAATAAGTTTAACGTTTATAAGTGCTCAAGCGTCAAAGTTTCTCTAATTTAAATCTATGCAACAAACCTTTTGTATGATGCATACCATTGTTTCTTTAGATTCTAGCATTAACGATGTTGTAAAATTAGTTAATTGTAGCGGTTTTATAGTTTTACGTTATATATTTAGATATATCTGAGTCTTCCAATTTCTTCAATTCCACAGAGGAAGTGTGTTTGGATGGATACTTTCGACTCTACCGGCACTTCTTTTGAATGGTTTTTCGGGTGTTGTTGTCTCTTTTATGATTCCGGTTGCGTAGGGGAAGTGCTATCAGTGTAGAAATCAGACATTCGGGTTACTTTTGTAACGAAATAGCGAATTTTACCAGCTCAACGCTGTTGTTTTGGTGGATATGTGCACAAGGCGTTACACAGACCCTGTATACCTTCAGTTCATCTGGGACGCTATCGAAGTTCCGTTGCCGGATAGAAACTGTAACTTTGATTTCATACTTCAGTTTATTCGCAATGAACGCGATCCGAAATGCGATGCTGAGAAACTTAGTGAACAGCTTGGAAATGCGTTGCGGGACAAATGCATAATTCTCTCAGGATCGCGATACAAAAAGGCAGATTGGTCGTCCATTTCTCCATTTTCAGGACACGACTCGTAAGTCTCTCATAGATACAGCTAAACATCATAGATACTGCTTTCAATGTCACATGCCTGGACCTGTGGTAGATTGCCCGACTTGCTTCAGGGTATATCATGAGAGTTGTTTCAAGCGTGCCTTTGAGGCGAACACGTTTATCACTTTCCCGGACGAGCACTATCAAGATCCTGATGCGTCTGATGAGGCCTCTCGTTCTTGCCCAACCTGTATACGTCTTGCCAACACTCGTCTGGACAAAGAAACAACTTCTTATCTCCGCTCTATTTATTCTGTAGCACTTGAGAGGATGAGGGGGAAGGCGCCCTGGCGTACCCTTTACACAGTCGGTTACGTCGACGAGTTCAACCGTAATCGATACTTTTCTTTCAAACAAATGAATACTCGAATTATCACTGATAAACTGCGAAATGGCCCTTCTTTGGAGGGCTATCCCAATCGCACCCATATTTTAGCGGACTTGGATCTTCTGATTCACAATGCGGCTGTTATTTACGGGTCGAAAGCCGACATGACCAACACCGCCCGCCATATACGATCGCTGGTTCAAAAGGAACTGCGAGAATCATCGCTCTGTGTTGATTGTTATCTACGCTCAAAAGGTGGCAAACCAGATCAGAGACAGATTGTAGAGGCCTGTCGAAGACCCCACAAAATGATATGGTTTCAATACAGTAGCTGGTCTTTTCGACCTTGTAAGGTACTCTACCAAACCAGCGATGGTTATGAGGTTATCTGTTTTGACGGACGCAGAGAGCGGCAATTTGTACCGTTAAACAACGCAGTTGCAATGACGTTCTCGGCCTCTCATTTGGGAATGCGAATCACTGCTCCTCTTAAGCGTGCTCTCCTTGAAGCTCGGATGTATGTGGAGAACCAGCGCAAGATCACACCTGATTTCAATCCCGGAGAGGGTTTGATGCTTTGTGACATTCCTGCTGAGTCTCTAGGGTCTAGTTACTTTGAAAGCAGCAATCTTGTCAAAAAGACATCCCTCAAATCGGGGTCAAAGAGGCCTCGTGTCCATACCAAAAAGAAGTCATTATCCCAAACCAGGCACTTTTCAACCACAAACGTTGGCAGTAAGTTACCTCTGGAGTCTTGACTGACCTTATCAACTGTTACTTGTGTTAATTTATCTATTTGCTTAGTTACTAGCAAGACTGAAACCATCCTTGATAAATCTCGTGTTCCTACTCCTTCACCCTCAGCATCATGTGATACTCTTCGTCCTGGCTCTACCGTTCCACTCACACATCATCTTACGAATAATGAGTACTCCTCTTCCCTCAGTGACAGCGATAATAATTCAAGCATATCCAGCTGTAGTTCGAGCACCAGCACTTCGGATAGCAAATTTCCCTTATCAAAGCGCCCGAATTATCGTTCAGTTGCAATTTCTCCTGCTGCAAAAAAGGCTGTGCCCTCTTCTCGCTCATCAGACTCTACAACACCTGCTACCACGGCAAAGGTTTCTGCTACGGCTTCACAAGCGCCATTACCAAAATCTGCAGTCGTGCCTTCAAGTCGTTCGTTCCTGAGTAGGCCTGTTGTCACGGACAGCGACTCGGACCCTGCCTCATCTCCCCTGGAATCCTGTTCCTCCCGCCCAGCTGGAAGATCTTTGCCTTCTCCGATTCGCAAACGCCGAAATATTAGCAGCAGTAGTAGCAATGCAAGTAGTGGGACCGTAGTCGAAAGTGATTCTTCTCTTCTGGGAAATAACGGTTCTGCGATGAATTGGCGAAAGTCTGGCAGCGGCAATGGGAAGATAAAAAGGTCACAGAAGTCTTCGAAATTGGTGAGCTTTTTTTTTCTTTATCTAACATTGGTAGTATGTCACGGTTGAGTTTCATGTTGCTCAAGTGCATTTAATTCTTTTAGGCACAAATTGAGCTAGATTCGGAGAAAGCTAATTCTCGTCGTCCGAAGAATGTGGCTCTTAGTATTACCACGCAGGAACACGCGGTATTGGCCAGCGAGGAAAATAAAAATATCAGTGCCAAAAAAGGTTCGTTGATTTCAAACAACCACTCGGATGTCCTTAGCGGCGTCTATTGCACCTAAGAATTCAGGTTTTGGGTTTTATTTTTTCTAACATTCGTCTCTTGGCTGCTTTTTAAAGGTTATCCATGAAAGTAATGCTGAAATTTACTGGTAGAACACCGAGTGAAACAACTGATACCTGACCTGCTATATCATAGAAAGTACACTCTTCACGTTTTTTGCATGAAAACGACAGTTCCGCGCGTTTGGCAGAGGGCAAATTCAATTGCGACTGATTTATCTGTAGGCAGGAAGGTTGGTGTTTGCAGTAGCACCTCTAAGCCCATTCCGAGGTCGCATGTCGTAGCAGAGAACAATTCTACAAAGCGTAATCCTCTTCCTCCAGTGTCCGCCACAACTTCATCTGCCTCCTCCGTGTCTCCTGCTGCCCTCTCATCCAGTTCTGGTATCGGATCGAGTGTTAGCGGTGATACGAAATCTGTAGAAACGTCTCCCGGCGACCTGCAATGCAATGGACATTCTGGTGCCACTCAAGGAGATTCTACTGCAATCAAGTCTGAGGTCTGTTAGTCTTGTCTACGTCTTTAATTGGTTGGGTATTGGGTTATTCTTCATTACGGATATTTTCACACGATCTCTCCTGTTTGTTTTTTTTTCTGTTTATGGCTTAACTCATTCATGAGTTATGTAACAGCATTGATGTTGATGCACATGGCTTTTCCCATGTAGGAATATTGTGA